TGTTCTGAAAAGATAAGCATCAATTTCACTCAGAGTACAAGCTTCATTCCCATGGGGAAGTTAACGACTATCTTGGATGAATTTGTATTTGCTCTTGTTGTATAGTTAGAAAGTCAGAAAAATTTTGAGAGTTCAGGGAAATTGTCAGCTTTTTCATGTTATTAGTCTATGTTATTTGGTGCATTATTTAATTAAATAAAAAATTATTTAATGCACTACTACCATTAGTATAAAATATGTAGGCATAAGTTTCATCGACAATCAACAGCAAGAAAAAAAAGATTGGGTAAGTAACTTATTTCTTGTTTTTCATATTTATTCTTTATTTATTATTATTAGAAAAGTAACTAAAATGTAAAAATAGGGATCTATTTAGGTTGGTTAAGATTAGATCAGGTAAAATAAATAATAATATTATAATAAAAATGTGTCACGAGTCTCGTATGTGAGCAGCACCTAAGTAATGTAATTCAATAGTGTAATGCAAGCTGCACGGGCCCCGAGTGATTTACAACATTATGCCGTGGATAGTAGTTAGACACAACTCAAAGGGCAATAAGAAATTAAATTTAATTATGAATAGATGTATACTGATACGAGCTTAAAGCTACTTAGGATAATGTTGTTTCATGTTACAATTTGAAGTTATTATAAAAAGAAATAAAGGGTAATTTAGATATTTTTTTTATGTTTATGAGGTCGGTCAAATTAACTGATCCCATTTTGAGTTAGGGTAGAGAAAATAACATATGAAATATAAAATTTTACTGAAAAAAAAGTTGGAAATGCATTTAGAAGGTTTTATGGATTACACAAAGGAGATTTGAGATTTTTGAGATGAGGAAAAGTATTTTTAACTTAACATTAAAATCTCTTTGCACATGGACTATTCAAAACAAATACTCAATATATTCATGGACAAATGTTGATTTTAGTGTATTTAAAAATATGATTTTTTGTATTTGAAAGACTTGTAATGTTAATTGAAAGACTGCCAAATTTTGTGAAGATATACACACTATATTGAAAGTTAGAAGTATTAAATTTATAAAGACACTAGCTGAGTTACCCGGCATTGCACAGTGAAAATTTAGATTTGAAATGTATAGATCAGTATTTTTTTAGTAAGTTATTCAGTAAGTAGACAAAAGCTGTGTTGCGAGAAATAAAAAAGCATTCAAAGCTTTATTTGAAATTAAATGGTGTTTCAGCTTGTCTTGTTCTTTGAGCCTGAAGTCGTACATCATGTTGCTCCTCTGTGTCTTGCTCTCTGTAAGTTATTTGTCTTAATTTTTGTGCTTGAAGTCTGGTTTGACGTTGTTCAGAAGTTTCTTGTTGTCTATATCCAGCTTGCCTTGATGATTCTGACTGAACTCTGGTTCGAGCTCAAGCTGAAAGGCAGGCTACTCAAAGACAGCAAGAAACTGTTGAACAGCACAAAGGAATGTTTTTGTTTATAATTAGGTGGAATACAAGGAATTACTGCATTCTCTCCTCGCTGGATGGGATGGTACGGGTTTTTCTCATGTTTAGTAGGTAATATAGCTTTTCCAAACACTGGAGTTTGGGTTTTGACAGCAAACATAACTAAAGCAAATAAAATTGCTAATGATAATTTCATTATTCTATATTACTTCTCCGTCTTTAAGATATAATATTGATATGTGTAGGCTTTGGAGTACTTGACTAAATCTTCGAAAAAGTTTTACTAACATAACGTTGCTAAGATACGTTTATAGCATAATCACTGTTGAAATTATCATTTAGCAACTTATTGTTCAACAATATTTAATAACTACCTTCGCAAAGAATATTCAGGTAACAATACTTATAAAGTTATACTTGTCATAAAACATAAGTATTAAGCCTATTATAATTTTTAAATGAGTGTTGTTCTGTAAGACGTGAAAAGAAAATAGAAAAGAAAAGATAAAATAAAATAAGATTGATACTAAAAATCAATATTTGACAGCATGATAAAATATTAATGAATGTATTTTGTGATATAACAAAATAATTATAACAACGTAAATAAAGCTGTCAATCTATATATATAAAAGAGGAGGTTTGTTTATTTGTTTATTTGGTTCGCTATAGGAAACCAAATAGTTGAACTTACAAATTTGAAAATAACTTCATAATAACCAGTTTTTTTACAATAAATTTAATGGTGCTATTTATTTTTTATTTGGTGTAGTATTTAATGACGAAATTGACAATTAATGATTATTGCGCCATCTTTTTTTTGTAATAAACATACAAACATAAGTTCGTTTTGCACATAGAAAGCGCACTCAAATCACCTTGCTGTCAAATTCAGTTTTCTGTAAATAGTGCTAAGTGGTTTCATAAGTGATTTAGTAACTTTGTGAATTGTAATTATTGTTTAGTGATACAGGTGATTATGCCACCCAAGAAACGCCCTTTCTATGCAAAATCTTCTGCTGCTTAAAGAATGCAAGCACAGAGAGCAGCTGCAACAGAAGAAGAACGCAATCAAAGACTTCAAGCACAAGTTGCATGATAGGCTGCTCAAATACAGAAAGAAACTTTGTAAAGTTAGACAATCACAGATGTTGTTAGCTACGTTTGGACATTTTTGGTCCCCTACAGATCCAATCGTACCGACAAAATCACCTGTATACTTTTGCACTCTAAG